CTAAAAGATTCTTTTCTCCATATTTCTCTTTGTTTCTGCTACTTCTCTTCTTCACTTGATTTAATAAAAAGTTTCTTTTTTCTTATTAAAAAAAGAAACACTTTTTTTTTCTTTATGCACTTTGCTTTGTTTTGCTATTCTTTATTTGGTCTATATGATTTTTAGGTGTAAGACTTAACATTTTTGGAAGATTCTCTTCTGTTTTCTCTCCGTAAAGGCAATAGTCTACTTATTTTTTATGACCAAACAAGTAATTATTGTCCAAATGATAATGAGTACACAAATTAATCAAAAAGTCATATGATTTGCTATAAGAAAATACATGCAATTTTTTTTTTTAACTTCTCATTGTGCTTTTGCTATTGGAAAAAAAAAAACAAATATACTATGCTATTTTTTTCTATTTTTTATATATAGGATTAAATGTAGGTATGACCGTTTCATTAGGATTAACATAAGTACGACGGTTTCAGACGTAATGACAAAAAAAGTCTAATCTCTTTTTTCTAGAACGGAATTTTACATTTTATGAAATGAAAGAGTTACGATGGTTTCAGACGTAATGACAAAAAAGTCTAATTTATTTTTTCTAGAACGAAATTTTCTACTTTATGAAATAAAAGAATTACGACGGTTTCAAACGTGTTGATAAAAAAATATAACCTCTTTTAATTAGAACGGAATTTTCTATTTTCTGAAATAAAATAAAGGTTAAGAAGATTAATCTAGGAAAAATGATTTATATGTATGCATGTTTTACATAACCATGTTAAAAAGAAAAAAAAAACATAAAAGATATTTTGAGTAGTTTCATTTAGCAAAAAATATCAAAAGATAGAAAATTTTATATTTGATCTACTAAAACATACAGAAAGAACGAAAAAATTTCCCTATGGTCATAGTCTAAGGAAGATATTTTTAAATTGCCCTATTTAATCACATCCGTTTTTGTATTCTACCTATACACATAATTTAAGATTGGGAATAAGAAAAATGATACTTTTAGTTGGGTGTGTTTAGTAAGCTAGGAATCAGAATAATGCCGAAAATTATATTGATTAGTGGTCGTTTTCTATAAAAATAGTTTTGATGTTTAAAGTCTAATTAATAATTTACAATTGAAAAGACAACAAATCTCTTGATGTCTTTGTAGATTGGGAACACAAGTCATACCTTAATTTGTCTTTCTCCACTCACGACATTGGTGACTTGTTAAAGTTAAACACAGAGAATCTAAAAGCAAATTTAAACGAGATTAAAAGCAATTTAACTAATGCTGTTATCACGGTTAGAATGGGCATTATATATAGTTCGGTAAAATATGTAATTTCAATTCAAATTAAACTTCTTGTTTGTATAAAACATCAAAATTTAAAGAACTTTTTGAATCAAATCATATATCTATATGGTAGCTTCGATCGTTACGGTTTGACTCCAACGATCCAAACTCTCGATCAAAACCTAAGTTTAAGTGAAAAGGCTCGTAAGTCGTGCTTATCATTAAAGATTATTATCCATTAGTTAACCTCGATTTCAAACTCCTTGACTATGGTTAAATCTTAACTACTGCAGTTACTTCATTAATCATTTTAGTATACTTCAAGTCATTTTATATAGTGACTTTTGCAACCCCCAAGTGGCTATAAACAATTGATAAAACTTGTCGTACTATATTTAGTTGAATAGAGATTGTTAACCGAAAAAGTGATCTATATATATGTATAATGCGGATATATCTATAATGCGTACAAGTTAGCAAGCTACGATACTTCCAAAATCTATAATGCGGATATATCTATACATATATTGCTTTGAATCTAAAGAAGATTGGAGTCAGGCTTTGTAATATAGCTGGTTTGTAGTAATGATGCGGTTTATAGCATAAAAAGTGTTCATGCATTACAATTTTCTAACATAAATACCACAATTTTGAATGCTATTATTTATTGGTTTGTGATAGTATTGTCATTGTGTCACAACCACAATTTAAAAAATTATCATAATGGATGTTATTAAAAAAAACAAAAAACGTAAAAAAATCAATGTTTTATATGATAATTTTGTATGTTTTTCTCGATAGTTTTGTATGCTCAATACCCCGGACGAAGGTTATGCTTAATTAGTGTCCATTAGACTATGGAGAATTACTGGTACCAGACTAGAAAGACAAAGAACATCTTATTATAAGGGCCTGTAGCTCGATTCAATTTAAGGCCAGTTCCTTATTTGCCTACGAAGAAAGGGGCAGACGATACATATATAAACGACTATGAAAATTAAATTATCATACCGACTCAACTAAACACTTATCATCTTCGGAGCGAGCTAAATCACATTATTCTAGAGATCCACATAGATATCAGACATTTGCTTTCGGTCCATTTACATATTTGGAGAGAGAGTCTATCCATGGGTTGTACCTTCTTCGGAGATTAGTCTGGGCCATATGCTTAGGATTTAACTAAAAATTTATGATCCAAACACAAAGCTGGGAGATTCCGTTCAGGTATCAACACGACGGCGCGTATGCCCACGCCCTGAGCACGTGACACTCACGTGTGAACTGTGGATTACATTTCTCTAATTACAAATTAATCTATGTATTGGTTGTCAAGATTCTGAAGGAATGATTTTTTTATATAGATTTTTCATATATAATAGAATTTTATATTCTTAACGTCGTTTCAAATTATTAACCCGGCAAAGAATATAGGATTAGATTACCAAACTGGTGCAAATTGCCAGTATTTTATTAGTATTTTTTATTCTAAGTTAACATGATATATATTAGACTATATATATTGAATATTTATTTAAAATTTCAGTGACAATAAGAAATTGAGCCAATCACAGAAAACATCTATTAAATGAGTCTCTCAAAACTTTTGGAGAGTTCCTCATTTGAGAACTTTTTTTTTTCTCTCATATTTTTTCATTATTTTAGTGTTTTCTCATCAAAAAATCCCTAATGGAGATGTCTAAGAACATTTCCAAAAAAATTCTCCATAAGCTTCTACAAAAATATAATATATAAACTATCAATAAAATATTATGAGATTCTACTATTGGAAAAATCAATTTAAAATTTTTTTAATTTAGAAACTTTTGAGTGGATTTTTCTAATAGTAAAAAAGATCTATAATATTTTATTAATATTATTGTGGTTTTTTAAAAACCTCATGAAAAACCTCTTAAGATGCTCTAAATGTTTTTTACTCTCTATTAGTACCAATAATTTTACATGTATATTAGGGTTTTGTAGTCAACACATGTATATATAGGTTAGACATAAAAAATAGGTTAGCAAAAAAAAAAAAGACATAAAAAATAATGATTATATACACATAAAAATAAATTCTATATGCATGTAAGGTCTCGATGACAAACAAACGATTCGAGCCACTTAGTTACTTTTTATAAAATAATGATCATATTTTTAGAGGATAAGTACAAAAATATCATTTTTGGTATCTATATTTTTAAAATATCACTATAAATTATTTATTTACA